GGGAAAAATATGTGACTCCAACTTCAGTTGCTCAGAGGGAAGGAACCAGAAGCCACAACCGCAAGCTAAGCCTGGAGGCCCTGATGACAACAGACACACAGCCCTAGCAGCGAGAGAAACCCACAGGTCTCTCAAGCCTGAAGTCAGCAGAAGGGTTGTCTGACAGAGACTCCTCCTACGGGAAGGCTAGGTCTGAAGAACATATTGCAGAAAGCCACAGCCATAACAAACAGCAAGACTGGAGTGCAACATTCTCTGAACAAAGGGAAGTGCAGAAGCAGACAAGCCACTCTGAGTTCTAGCAGACCTGGAGAAAGAAGGCACAAAGCTCTGGGATGGGGAGTGGAGGGAGGTGTGGAGGGACTGGGGATAGAGCTAGATGGTAGAGTGCTTGCCTACAAGGGAAGAGGCACTAGGCTCAATCTTCAGCAAAGGGGGCCAAAGTATTTGGCCTAGGATGCTCGGAGCCTGGGCTGGATCTTCACCATAAGCCGCCAGGTGAAGCCACACAGGCCTATCACGCCATCATTGGAGGGTACAATTAGGAGGATCAGAACTTTGTGGTCATCCTCAGCTACAAAGCGAATTAGACATGAGACAGCCACCCTCACCCCAAAAAGGCAACAAACAGTGTCCTTAGCTGGTGTTTCTATTGCTGTGACAAGGCACTATGACCACAGCAGCTCTTATAAAAGAAAACATTTAATTAGAGCTGGTTTACAGTTTAAAGGTTTAGTTTATTATCCTCATGGCGGGAAATGGCATGCGGGCAGACATGGTGCTGGAGAAAGCTGAGAGTTCTACATCTTGATCCACAGGCAACAGGAAGTGAACTGTCACACTGGGTGTGGCTTGAGCATACACAAGACTGTAAAGCCCACCCCCCCTGAAGACACACTTCCTCCAACAAGGCCACACCTCCCTTTGGGCCAAGCATGGAAACACATGGGTCTGCAGGGGCCATACCTATGCAAACCACCACAGAGTGAGGGAAATGACAGCAGGAAGGGAAAGAACACCTGTCCCCAAACTATTCCTGAAAGTAGAGAGGGAAGATACACAAATCTCACTCCACAAAGCAAGGTTTCACATACCAAACCAAGAAAGATACAAGAACGAAGAAAATGAAAAAGTTATAGCCTAGTTCCCTGGATAAACGTAGATGTTCTCAATAAAATACCAAACCACTAGGAAAGCAGAACAAGTGAAAACAGTGCAAATTAATGAATTAAAATGCCTTCAAACCAAATTCAGCAAAATATTAAAGAGATCACACACCAAGATTCAATCAGTTTTGTTCCAAGAATTCCCCTTTCACCAAAGAGAAATCAGTAAGTAAAGCACAGCACATAAATCAAATCTAGGACAAAAATTAAACAACCATCTCCGCATACACAGAAAAAGCCTTTGACAACGTTCCACATCATTTCACAATAAGAAGCCTGGAGGAATTTGGAATGGAAAGGTATCATTACAATATGACAAAGGCAAGACAGGGCAGACTCACAGCCAACACTACAGCAAACAGAGAAGAGGCAAACACAACATGACAAAGGTAAGACAGGACAGACTCACAGCCAACACTATGGCAAACAGAAGAGGCAAACACAACATGACAAAGGTAAGACAGGACAGACTCACAGCCAACACTACAGCAAACAGAGAAGAGGCAAACACAACATGACAAAGGTAAGACAGGACAGACTCACAGCCAGCACTACAGCAAACAGAAGCGGCAAACACATTTGCTCTGAAGTCAGGAGAGTCCGCTCTCTCCATACTTTTCCAGGACAGGGCTTGCGCTCTCCAGCACAGTAGGAAATAAAAAGGGCACAGTTGGGGGGAAAAGTCAGATTATCCATATTTGCAAATGGTAATGTCTGCACTTGAAAGACCCTCCTCAGCCAGGCGGTGGTGGCGCAAGCCCTTAGTCCAAGCACTTGGGAGGCAGAGGCAGGTGGATCTCTGTGAGTTCGAGGCCATCCTGGTCTACAGAGCAAGTTACAGGACAGTCAAAGCTACACAGAGAAAGCCTGTTTCAAAAAAAACAAACAAAACAAAATAAAACAAAAAGTTGGGTGGCTGTGACTCACATGCTTAATCTCAGCACTTGGGAGGCAGAGGCAGGTGGATCTCTGTGAGTTCCAGGACAGCCTGGTCTATAGAGTAGTTCCAGGACACCCAAAGTTACAAAGAGGAAACCCTGTCTACAAAACCAAACAGACAAACAAAAAATCTCAATGACATACCCTCATGAGAAAAAAAAATCCTAAAGTTCATATGAAAACACAAAGACCATGAATAATCAAAGCAATCCTAAGAAGAAAGAGCGAGGCTGGGGGTCTAAAATATCTAGCCTCAAACTGTACCAGAGCCATGGTAACAAAAGATCATATCCTGGCACAAAGCACACAGACCAGCACAATGGACTAGAGAACCCAGAGCTGAAAAGGGCACACACTGCTGCTCTTCTAAGGACCTAGGTTCAATTCTCAGCACCTACGTGGTGCCTCATAACCGTCTGTAACTCCAGTCAAGGGGATCCAATGCCTTCTTCTGGCCTCTGTAGGTACCAGGCATGCATGTGGTACACAGAAATACATGGAGGCAAAACCTCATACATATAAAACAGTAATTTTTCATAGAAAGAGAGAGAAAGCCAGAAACAAACCTACACACAGCTACAATCCCTTAAGTCTGACAAAGGTGAAAGGGCAGCCTTTCCTACAATGGATCCTGAGAAAACTGGTTGGCCACGTGTAGAATGAAACTAGACCTTCTCTCACCCTGCTCGAAACCAATTCAAACTGGATCAAAGACCTTAATGTGCACCCTGAAAGGAAAAAATAGAGAATACACTTCAAGATGGAGGATAAGCAAGGGGTTGCCGAAAAGTCCTTCAAAAGCCCAAGATGAGCCAGGCAGTAGTGGCGCACACCTTTAATCCCAGCACTCAGGAGGCAGAGGCAGGCAGATCTCTGTGAGTTCGAGGCCAGCCTGGTCTACAGAGCTAGTTCCAGGACAGGCTCCAAAGCTACAGAGAAACCCTGTCTCGAAAAACAAAACAAAACAAAACAAAAAAAGCTCAAGATAATAATACAGAGAATGACTGACAGTGGCGGGGGGG